CCCTTTGGGGGGGACGCGAGGGGCTCCGGTCCCCCCTCGCAGGAGTCCCCGATCCCCCTGAGGGGAGCCCGGGGGGGGCTCCGAGCCCATCCTAGGGGGGTCCAAATCCCCTTAGGAGCTCTGATCCCTTTGGGGGGGACACGAGGGGCTCCGGTCCCCCCTCGCAGGGGTTCCCGATCCCCCTGAGGGGAGCCGGGGGGGGCTCCGAGCCCCTTTGGGGGAAGGGCTCGATCCTCGGAAGGGGGCACGGGGAACGCCGATTCCCCTTCTTGGGGGGTCCCCATCTCCCCTTCTTGCGGGGTCCCGATCCCCTTGGGTGGTCACGGGGGGCTCTGAACCCCCCCTTGGTGGCTCTGATCTCCTTGGGAGGTCACGGGGAGCTCCGAGCCCCCTTACAAGGGTCCCTGATGCCCTTGAGGGGGACCCGATCCCCCTGAGAAGGACATGGGGCACTCCGACCTCCTTTACAGGAGTCCCTTCTTCTCTTTTGGGGACCCCCGATTGCCTGGGGGGGGGGGGGCTTCGATTCCTTTGGGAGGCATAATGAGCTCACATCCCTCTTGCTGGGGTCCCTGATCTCCGTGAGCAGTCCCATTCCCCTTGGGGGGGCTCCAGTTCCTCCTCTAGGGGTTCCCAGTCCCCTTGTGGGAATCCCCAATCCTCTTGTGGGGGTCCATGATCCCCACGGGAAGACACAGGGGGCTCTGACCCCCCTTGTAGAGGTCCCCAAAAAACCTTGCAGGGGCTCCAATACCCTTTGGGGGAGCACAGGGTATGCTCCGAGTGCACCTGCAGGACCGATCCTGCTTGGGGGCATCCTGCTCTCTTTGAGGGGAGCACGGGGGGTCCCGATTCCCTTTGAGGGGCTTCAATCCCACTTATGGGGGTCCTAAACCCCTAGTGGAGGCTTCGGTGGTGTTTTGATCATCTCAGGCCCATCAGGGAAAAGGGCCAATGCCTTTGTGGGGGAGCATGAGAGATGCTGATCTGCCTCATAGGGATCCCCAACCCTTTTGGAGGTGGTCCTGATGCCCCTTGGAGTAATCATGAGGATCCTGATCCTCTTTTGGGGAGTTCCAGTTCCCTGTGGAGGGAGTGATCTCCACTGGGTGGGAGGGAGGCCTGAACGTGGCCTCACACTGCAGAGAGACCCTGATCCTCCCTGCTGGGGCCAGGTGAGGTTAAGATGGGGTGGCTCTGGCCCACCTTTGAAGGGAGGTCACACCTGCTGAAGGGTTGCATGTCTGGAGCACAGGTCGCTTCCCCTTACCCCTGATTCTGGCTGATTTCTTCCTTGCTTTTTCTGTTTCAGAGAGATACTTTTTCCTCCGAAACTGCCCCCTCTCCTTTTCACTTCTCTGCTCACTCGAGCCTAGGTCCGCATGGGATGTCAGTGTCCTGTTTCTCCTAATTTACACCAGAGCTGGTGTACCCTAAAGCACCTCCAGTCAGGCTAACTGCTTTTAATGTTCTGTTCTCCATGAGTAGCCTGTTCAAGATGCTATTGGGAAAGACGTCAAACATCCAGTGGATGTTTAATTATATTATTCTTCAGCTGTTTCTGCTCCCCTCTCCTTTTCCTCCAGGAAGCTTGGATCCTATCACCTCCCCAGAGGCTGCAGGTGAAAAAGTGTCACTGCTTCACAACCAGATCTTTTGCAAGGGGACAGGGACCCCATAGAAAGACAGTGGTTGTAAATTAAATCATACTCTGATGAAATAGTGTTATACTACACACACACAAAAAAAAGAGGATGTGATCAAACATTCTATGTCTGGGTGATTGTGGGGGGAGCTCTGATGGCTTTAACCCTGTACCAGAGGTGGCCAAACTATTACCGTCTGTAGTTTGAGCGCTCCCAGGACACTATTTCCTCCTCACGCGTTTGGCATCAGTGTTGGTAAGGTAGGGAGCCAGCAGCTATATCCAGTGCTCTTTTATGAGCAGCTGGATGGATCCTAGATGGACCTGGGTGGCACAAAGTCTATCTCCGTTCCACAAGGGACCAGCAGGATTGCTACAATGTCCTGTCTCTTAGCTCCTCTCAGATCTTCTTGTCTGATGGCTCTTGGCCTCATGAAGAGCTCTGTCTCTGGCTTGTCTGGTTAGGAGGAACAGCTGGCCAGTGCTAGATGTTTTCTGTGGAGCTTCTAAGAGATTTCATTTATAAAACGTTACTGATGTTTAGCTTTGTGACTTTTGTGAATTGAAATAAAGATGGACAACATACTTATTTTTCTTTTATAGAATGGCTTCAAATGCCATTGCATGTCTGAGTCCCACCAGAGGCAATTGCTGCTGGCTTCTGAAAATCCTCAGCAATTCATGGATTACTTCTCTGAGTAAGTTTCCTAGATATTCTTACCCAGGTCTTCATTCTTCAATCAAATCCACACAGTCCTATCTGTAGGGCCCAGTCATGTCTTATTGAAGGCGCTCTATTCAGATGTATTTTAGTGTTAGCTATTTTTTAATGGTTATTTGAAATGTTAAGCGCCGATACTTTTGAAAGCACGTATGAGGTTTCAGGGAGCCAGGATATTTTTAAAAAGTTGACGATTTTATCCCATGTCTAACAGTCTTGCTTTAAGTTGCTCTAGCTTACTCAGTATCACACCATTCTGCTCCAGCTAATTGACTACAACATGCACAGATCATGTCCTTTTTAGCCCTTTGTCGTCTTTTGTCTCCGAAAAGAGCTAAAAGAACCATTAGAGAGAGATAACGAGTGGTATGACTAGCATCCCACACAGTTTCCCCTGATTCCTTTGTCCAGCTATGACCTACGTGATAGCTAGGTTGACTGGAGCTGTCTTCAGCACTAATGTGAAGTGAGGCTTTATACTCAAGCCGTTGAATTTACGGTGAAATGAGTGATCAATCTCCCCAATCTACCACTGTTCCCCTTTGTCCCCTGTGTGTTTTGTGTCAGTGCTAGTCAACCTTGGAAGTTACCTGGTAATGAATACCAGCAATCAGTGGAAAGCGTTCCCATTTCATCCTTTCTGTTTTATCCTTTTGAAAGGGTATTATGCTTTTGAAGATACAACTGATATGTGCATGTACAATATTGTTTCTTTGTGCATACTTACTGCATTTAATGTTGCCTTACTGAAAAAGAGAAAGGAGTGTCTGAATGCCGTAATACTTCAGAAGAATCTTCCTGTATTGCAGGTGTTTGTTTTTTAATGACAATAGAAAATTGCTTTGTAATTGATAAAGTTTTACTAAAATACGTTCTTTTTTGTTTCATAAGGGAATTCCGAAATGATTTCCTAGAACTGCTCAGGAGGCGATTTGGTAAATATTTTAGTGTTTGTTTATTTGTTTTTAATGTCTTTTTTTTTTGGTTCAGTGCAAGAAGTTTGGGATGGTTTCTTCTAGGTCACGTACTTGTGTGTAATAATAATTTTGTATTTCAGGAACGAAGAGAGTCCACAATAACATTGTATACAATGAATATATCAGTCATCGAGAACACATCCACATGAATGCCACGCAATGGGAGACACTGACTGATTTTACTAAATGGTTGGGGAGAGAAGGTAAATATGATTATTCAGGGTAGGGAAGTTTTAAAATTATCAAGTAATTGCATTACCGATAAACAATGTGTAAAAATCTGTGTTCGTTCTCCTGTTTCCTTTTTCTTTCTTCTCCTTTGTACCTGTATGTGCACTAGCAGATGTCCAAATATATTATTGTGCTAATCGTTAGGAATTTACTTATGAAAAATGTCAGAGGTTTAAGAAAAATGCATCAGTCATTAACCTTTTTTGGTATCATCTGCCAGTCTATACTTACTAAAAGTATTGCTGAATTCCAAGTCAATGTCCAACAGCGGCTACTTTAAAAAATAAAAACTACAACAGAACATTTCTTATGACTGCAGAATCCTTCCATGTTTAAGGTGACAAGGAGTGGTCACCTTCATTCCTGGCCTAGTGAAAGAGTTAAAGCTTGAGATCTGCAATTTTCTGTTAAAAGGGAACAGCAGAGATCATATGGCACTGTGGTATGACCTAAAGTTTGCATTGGCTCCGATTGCCTTTGTCATGCAGGATACATTCATGAGTCCTGTAGTGTTTGCAAAGTCACTCTAATGAGTGTTAGTAACCATAATGCAGCATAGTAAAGTTTCCTGTAACATGATGCTATTTTGTATTTATTATTTACATATTTTAAATTTCTATTTTCTTCCTTGTTAAAACATTGGAAAGGAAATATTTCCTTCAATAAGGAAAGGATGTGAAAACACTTCCCCAATTTATTATGCGCTCTGGCCTTTTTCAAAATACAGCTGGCTAGTTGAAGAGCAGAAACGGACGCTTAGGATGGGTCAAGGTCAATTTTACCAGGCCATAAAGGATACGTTAGTTCTGTTAAAATATCCTCATTGCTGTGGGAAATGTGGCCTGTGAAATGATCTTGATATTTCATTTGTTCCTTGCTTATCTTTGTTAATGTTAATCTTATTTTATCGTGGGTTGGCTTTAGAGGTAACCTCATTTTTGTATTGACTTTTTAGGTCTTTGCAAGGTTGATGAGACTCCAAAAGGCTGGTATATCCAATATATTGATAGGGACCCAGAGACTATTCGCAGGCAGCAAGAACAGGAAAGGAAAAAGAAGCAGGACCTTGATGATGAAGAAAAAACTGCTAAATTCATTGAACAGCAAGTTAGAAGAGGTTTGGAGGGCAAGGAACTGGTGAGGAAAATTACACGACTTATCAGTCTTCAACTCAGAAGGCCTCTTGGTTAACTTAATCCTGAATTTGATGCTACTGTAATCCCTTCAGTGGTATTTCCTTTGCGGTCAGTAAGAAGGTGAAGAGCAATCTTCGTGCCTCAGATTACGAATTGGTCACCAGTTCCGACTGGGGAACAGTGGGCATCTTTGGCTGCATTGCTAAGTAGACTTCTCTCAGAGACTTCTATAGCCTCAAGGCAGCAGCCTTAACTACCTTGTTTCTGTTGAAAATTCGAGAGTTTGCTACATTTCCTGGACCAACCGATTTGCTAATGGTTGTTAGAGCTGATGAACATTAGGTCCTCTGTGGAATCGCAGTTCCAAAAAAGCAGAAAGCGGAGGTTTCAGGTTCTTTTAGATGTGATGTGTTTTTGAAATCTCCTGGAGCTGTGCACTGTGGTCCTGTTGTGCCATCTTGGCCATTTCAGATTTTGATTTAGACTGTCTTCTCCCTTACTTGAATCTCCGAATAACCCATTTATGTTCTGAATTTTCTGATAAACATTTATCTTGGATTATAACCTGCTCTGGATAAAAAGTTGGAATTGCTTTGTACCTGCCTTGCTTTAGTTCTAAGTAAGTAGTAATCACCTGCTCTTCAGGTGATTAATGATTTAAACATCTCTCTTGAATTCAAGAGAAGAGAGAATAAGCAATACAGCAGCCAGCATGGCATCTCTTCGTGTATGGTATTTCACTAACTTTTAGTGCTGCAAATAACAAGTACCTTGTGCAGTAGGGATGCTGAGATAACTAGGAAGGCTGAGATAACCAATTCCCCACAGTGAAAAGTCTTATTTTGGTAATGCTGGACTGGTATTCAGGAGCTGTTCTTTGGCATCCTTCCATGACTTTGTAACACATTGTTGCCTGGGATTGGAACCTCCTGTTTGATTCCGGGTATTGATAGGTGCATTTAAATGCTGTTATAAACAGTTATCTTTTTCTTAATTTAAAACTAATTGAAATTTAAATGGTCTGAGCCTTCAGTGCTGAAAACTTGGAACACTTCTAGGATTTTCCTTTTTTGGCTTATCAATCAGCCCAGAAGCCACGCTAATCATGCTGGTTCAAAAAGAGAAGACTATTATAGTAAGGCAACTTTCTTTTCGTGCTGGAATCAGGCAAGTTTAGACAGCATCTCTGTAGAGAGCGTTAATTAGACAATTTTGCACAGGGGCCTGTAATGAGATAATATTTTCAGTTCCTAATCTTCTTAATGGATCAAGCCAGGGTGAATATTACAGCTAGTAGATAATCTTGCAGTAGCGTGTAAAACTGAGCTAATCAATGATCACCAAAAATGATCTCCTGGCTCAGTTTTCTTTTTGACTCTTGAAATGTGTTTTCTATTCTTTTGGCAGGAAAAGCCAGTCTATACTGAACTGAACAGGGAAAATGAAGAAGAAAAAGGTAACCAGATTTTGATATATGTAATTTTCTGGAATTTACTGGAGCTCGTTTTGTGATTAAAACAGGAGATGAGCGCTGAGGCTTGCTCAGTGCTTCATAAAGTGCTTGGTATCAGTTATGAAGAGCACTGGAAATGTGGGAATAAAGAGAAATCCTCCTCTTTTTTTTAAAAAAAGTAATTTATTTTAAAAGCTGAACCAAAATACCATTTAGCAAATATTTTCAAATTTATGACCTTTTTCCGTTTGCAATTTTTTACAAATTGTAACAGCCTTCAATGCAGTTATATTTGAAGATAGAAATAGAGTAATGTCTTTTTATTTTTCAGTTGCATTTAATTTAAACAAAGGAGCAAGTACTTCAATAGCAGCATCTTCTAAAACAAGGTGAGAAAAGAATTTAAGGGCAATCCCTCCTATTGTAAAGTATTTGTATGACATTATTATTTGGATGGGCAGGAAGATGTGCTTTGTCCTGGAAAATCTGTAGTCTAATACCTTGTCCTGTCCTGTTATTCAGGATTGTATATTAGATGATTTCATGGTTCCTTCTGAATTTAAAATGGATAAAGGGGAGTATCGTAGATGTACGCTGTGAGGAGCCCTCTTGAATTCAGCAAGGTTCATTGCAGATGTCCATATAGTAATAGGCAGTGATAAGTTTCTCTAAGAAGATACTGGTATGTGGATAAGGGATCTAATCGAAACATTTGAAATGAATATTGTCTAGTCCCAACCGCCTTCTACCCGTTCATGACTTGTTAATTTCAGGTTTTAAAAGGTTTGATTGTCTTGTCTAATAGGAGGTAATATTTTCTCTCTGATCAGCATTTAAGAAGTTGAATATACCTGATGTAAATCTTTCTAAAGTTCGTGAGTTTAATTGTCATCGTATAACCATGAGCAACACAGGACAGAAGGGATCAGTAACGCATACAGTACTGAGTTATAGCAGTCTGAAACGGTTTGATGAGTGGTACATCTTTTCTTGTGAGGCGATATTGCAATTAAATGTATTACAGGTAAAACGAAAGCTTTCCTCTCATCACAAGCTCAGCTCTTAGATAAGGTATCTGATGGGAGATATGCCAGGCAGAAAATGAGACAATAAACTAGTTCTTTGCAATAATAGATACAGATTTCAGGCTTTGAGGAATACTTGTAAATTATCCCAAAGTGTTGAACTATGCTCAAGCTGAGTCTGAAATTTAATGCAGACACTCACCTGAATAGTTTCTCTCAGAGAGAAATACTTAGATCTGTATTTAAGCTACTTTCTAAAATTTGGCTAAATTGGAAATCGTATATCAAGTCATCTACGTTTTTCATAGCGAATGAGAGGTAGTTTCTGTCAGTTAGGAAATGGTAGTGTAGAAGCAAAATCAGGACACGCAGTTCACAGTATAGTGACCGAACTGTGGTTTCTGTATCTTAGGTGATACAGGAATCACTTCAGAGTTGTATATTGAAACTTCTCCCCTGTGTCAGTGTAAAGGTATGTTCTGCAGCTGTGAGATGCATTGGTTGTTACTGCTGCTCAGCTGAGGTCAGCCTGATGTCCAGTATCCTAGTGCAGCGTGCAGCAGGATTTCCTGGCTTCCCGTCCTCTCTGCTCACAGCACTTGCTGCAGAAACCTGGCCAGGACTAGGACTTGTGTTTCCTAATCCTGAAATAGGGCCAAGAGATCATAGGTTGTGGATGGTGGAGGTCTGGGGAGGGGGGTGCTGCTGTTTGGGTAGAGAGGAGTTGGAGGCTTGCTGAGAAGGGGAGCAGGAGGTGGAGGCGTGCCTTCCCCTGAACGTCGGTGTGGATGGCATAGAGATAGAAGCCACCGCTGCCACTGCGGGTACTGTTTCTTACACTGACCACCCTTGAGCAAACTGGGAGCCCCTGGCCTAGTTTGTTTTCCTCAGTAATTTACATCCTCAAATCACTGCTTAAATCACTCAGCGGGGCTGCTGCGTGGACAAGCTGGTGTGAGATTAGAATTACTTCTAATTAAGGAATGAGCAGAGGCTATTGAGATATGTCACAGCTGGTTTATACCAGTTGCTCTGATGTTGGTACAGACCTTTAATATAAATGGTTGTTTTTCCTTCTGTCATTTGCTTTCTCAGATGATATATTTATAGAGAACGGTTATATCCTCTTAACCTTCACTGTGCTACAAAAAGAGGCCTACACTGTGCTAGCTTCATCTCCCCGTTCCCCTTGTCAGCGGAATATCCCCTTCCTTGCCCTTGTTCCAGTTTCAGCTAATCTTTTTGGAACCGGGGAGCTGATCAGAGTTGTGCACCCTGCAAATGAAATCTCACCACGGCTTATACAAGGCACTAATACTTGTCTGTCTTGATGCCTGCTAGGATTGTGTTTGACTCTTTCATGCCTGGTTCACAGTGATAGCTCTCATCAGTGACTATAGCCAGATCCCTTTCTGCTTTTGTTGTTCTCTAACACTGCTGATTTCCCAGTAGGTAGACGCTAATCAGAGTAATTTTGTCCAAAGTATGTGAGCTGGCATGATGCGCTGCTGAATATTTTCTTTTCTTTTTTTTTTTTTTTTAAATATAGTTCTTAATATAAACCAGTCCTTTCTTGCATTCAGTTCTTTCTTGTGTCCTCCGTAACGATGACAGACCTGAACTGTATTGGCAGTCTCCCGCTCTTTGTCCCAGCACTCTTAATGAAAATATTAAATAGGATTTGTTTTAGTGCTGCCACCCAGGAATCCCTCAGTAACCTTCGCAGGCAGATACGTTTTCCTTCTTAAATGGAGACGTTGCAGTTGTTATTCTTCAATTGTACGTTACCCTTTATGAGATTTTATTTTAAGTACTTTATATTGGATTTATGATTTCATGTGCTATTTCTTCTAGAACTGCTATGGAGATTATCCCATCATCTTCTGAAATACATATTTTCCTCTGAATTTTGCTTCTACTACCATTTCTGTATCTTTATTCCCGTTATGTATTTTCCTTTGCTAGTTTATGCAACATCCTCACCACTGAATGCAGGCGGAACATCAGTTTTGTCACAAGGCCGTACCAAGATTATCTTAATCTCTACCTCACAGCAGCCTGCTTCACCTTTCTGGATGAACGAACATCTACATTTTTTCCCTGCCTTTGAATGTCATTTATATAGCCTGACTCAGGCTGCTTTTAGCTTTCCTAACTGTTCCCTGATCCCTGAGATGTGACTTTTTGTGCTGATCGGTCTTTCCTTTGTACTTTGGAGGCCGTTTGTTTATTTTGAATATCATTGTGAAGGTGGTGTATATTTGCTGGGTGCTGGAGCCCCTTTCTACACATTCCCCTCCCTCTCTTTCTGTGCCTTACAGGTTGAGTATCTCTGTCTGGCAGGAATTCTAGGCTTCTGCCATGTATGAGAATTGCTCAGTCCAGGTGGCTTCACTAATAGCACAAGTTTGTCCTTTCTGTTTTGAGAATCTTATTTGCAGACCTGCTTTTGTCTTCTCCATTTAACTCAAGCTCTTGATCAGCTCTTTGCTTTTAACTGGTAAATTGATCATTAGGTTGTTTTCATTCTACTGGACTGCCAGCAGCCAGCATCAGAGAAAGTGGAATTTACACCTGAAGGAGATCACTTCTAGCTGACAAGTGCAGTCCTAGAGAAGGAGGCATGCAGGGTCTGGAAGGCGGCTTGTACGACTGAAATCATATAGATCAGCAGTCCTTTTGCACAACCGGTCCATCAAATGCATCTCAGTAGAGGAGACGATTTAAGGTCTGCTGTGAAAACACCATCTTACTCTTCCAGCAGTGTCCTTGGACCAAATGCACTGAAGATGGTGGAAGGGGCAGTTAAAAGAAAAGAATCTTCTCATAGCTCTGGTCAGTCCAAAGAGAAAAAGAAGAAATCTGCACTGGATGAGATTATGGAGGTAATAACTGTGCAAGGATCTGTGTCTTTATCACTGAGCATCTATGGCAATGAGTCCACTTTACCAGGGCCTCCTTTAGAAGTGATCGTAGACCTTCAGTTCATGTGGAATTCAGACTTTCATGTCTTATCAGGCAAAATGATATGACTTCCCCTTTAAAACTGGTTTCTGCTGTTCGAATGTACCTATTCCTAAGATGGTTTAAGTGTTGGAAGTAAAGGAATACCAATTTTACAAGAAAAGGAAATATAAAGAAACATTTGACAAAAATAAGTATAAATCTCCTTCATTTTGTTATGGATTCCTGGATCTCATCAGATTGATTTTTTTTGCAGCAAACACACTTACCTTGCCTGTTTTTTTGGTTTTGTTTTTGTTTTTTACCACTTGACATGAGCATGGAGTATTGGTTAAGCTTTTCGAAGGGGTGGAAAAGCTGCAGTGGTAAGAGGAAATATATGGTGATTATTTGTTATTGATCTGTAGCTTGAAGAAGAGAAGAAAAGAACAGCTCGAACGGACTACTGGTTGCAGCCTGTGAGTGTCTTTAAAATGATTGCTATACCAAAGTCTGCATCTCTAAAGTTGCTTTTGATTTGAAGGGGGTACAGATCCAAAAGCAGATTCCTAATTAAATGCACTCTTATTTTCCAAGCTGCCAAACGTGAAATATTTACCGTATCTGGGAGGAATTCACTCTTCCTGGCTGAGCATGATCTCTAATCTGAAATGTCAAACGCTCGATCTCAGATGGGGTAGAATTCTCTATTTAAACAGGTGGTACTTTGAGGTCATACAGATCTCATTTAAATTATGACATTACTTACAGCCCCTTTCTTCCTACAGTGATAGCTGACTCTTGTGGAGATGTAGAAGTCAGCATCACCCTTTGAGCTAAGAGACTTTGTCAAAGCTTCTACTTTTTGACTGGACTTTTAGATTCAGAAGCCCTGCTCTTGAATCCTTGTGGGCTGTGGGATGTTGCATCTCGGGTTCAAAAGTAACTGTATTTGTAAAACTAATGGAAACCTCTGAGAGATAATACTCTGAGGTAGTAATCTGAGGATAAAGAACACGTTCCTAAATGCCAAGTTTTTACTGTTGTTGCTTCCTGTGCTGTGATGTACAGCATGACCATCTGTGGTTGGGGGCAGTGCAACTAGTTCAGAATGTGTAGTTATTTGTATATTTTGCTATTTTCATCTCTTTTTCTCCCTCTTCCTCTGCAGGAAATCGTTGTAAAAATTGTAACAAAAAAACTTGGAGAGAAGTATCACAAGAAGAAGGCAGTTGTTAAGGTGAATTATCTGGCAAAGCAGACAAAGGCAAACTGGTGGGGTTGGTTAGGCTTTTCTGGTATCAAATGACTTCTGAAGTTTTCTGTTTCTTTGCGCAAGTTGTTCGTCCTTGAACCAAAACTAATAGGGGCTGAAACTCCACCTTAACTTTATTGGGACTTACTCTAGGCAGGGAGTGAATCTCTAATTGGTTTAATAGCATTTGCTTAGTGATCCTTTCATAAGCACTGTTTTTACCCTGCGTACTTTTGTCCTTATTACCACATCTATCTTGGAAAATAGTCCCTGTGTATGTGATGTGACAAGGAGCAACGCAATTGTATTTTAATCTGAGACTAGTCAGTTTTGCACCGACATTTAAAGTGCAAGCTGCCTTTAAACAAGATCCTATGTGCATACAAACTCTTCATTCTGTGAGCCTTGCTCTGTTGTTCTGAAGCGCTTGGTTTTAGTCCCTGCCAGTGACATGATGTTGTACTAGGTAGTCCCAAGGTTCAACAGGCTCTAGCAAGAGGGCCAAAGATGGCACCCAGGCATGTTTTGAATGGTCCACAACAGGGTTTAGAGCTGGAAATCACAGCTTTTTGTGGTAGGCAGGTTTATGAGTCCCATCTGCTGTCTTCCACTGACCTTTGGATGTGGGAGATTGAGCATGGTTTATGTTAAATGCAAAGATGATCAATGACATTCTGCTTCCTTGAGAGGCACTGTTCCAGTTCTCACTGAATGTCTGGCTTCCAGCTGGCTTAGCCTCCCTGAGGGAAAGAAGCCTCTAATTTATTCTCCATCCTTGGAGGTATAGCTGAGATAGCTAATCTGAACTAGGGTGACAAAATCAGTGGACTTATATTCCGACGGCGACCAGTCGTCGAGGCTCAAGAAGAGCCCTTTTAATCTAGCCTTAATTTCAGAACGGGGCTGGTCAGCAGCTTGGGAAAACTGCGTACTTTTAGGACAGCTCAGAAGTGCTAGTTCCTTTTCAAAATGTGGAAGTGCAGTCTCATGGTCCTGGATCTGTTAATTTTGAAAACAAAAATTTAGATAAAAACGGTAAATGTAATAGTCACTGAATGACCTGTATTTTTCATAACAGGAAGTAATTGACAAATACACGGCAGTTGTGAAGATGATTGATTCTGGGGACAAACTGAAGCTTGATCAGACGCATCTGGAGACTGTAATACCGGCACCAGGTACAGCTGTTTTGTTTTATTTGTTTTCCAGCTTATCTGTCACATTGAAACTTACGTTTTAGTTCTTTTAACCCATAATTCATGTATTTGAAACTACCATAACAATGGCCATCTTGCTTCATTTGTTCTTGGGGCAGCATTTTCCTGAGATGCTCTGATCATTTACCAGTTATCTTCTGTTACTTTCTGTGGAAATGTTGTGTTGCTTCTGCTTGGAGTCCTCACAGTCCCTTCTCACAAGAATTACACTGTCTTCTAACAACATGGAAGTGCTTTATGAATCAGTTTGCTTGGCTAGATGAAAGTATCTCTCTGCAGCTGCCAGTTAGCGTCTCTGGGAGCCCTGCAGAGCCCCTGGTCATATTTATCCTGCATCTTCCCTCCACAGTCATCCCTCAGGTAGCTGTGGGTACTTGACAGAGCTTACCTCATCTCCTGTTTGTTTCAGTGGCATTTCTTTGGCTGTGACACAGTCATGTTTGTATGTAGCATCTGATCAGTATTTCAGAGATTGTTCAGGGTAGCAGTAGGCAGACCAGTGTCAGTGTAGGGAGAAACAGGATGCGGAGTTTGAGGATTCACAGATATTTCACCGTCTGCTGAGCAGACCCACCATGTTCTACGTTTCTGCAGCTGGTGAAGAGCTGATTGATGGTGTTCACAAATGCTGTTCAGCATAACGGTACTGCCAGGTGAGCTCTGCCCGCCTTCATATTAAAATTAATGCCTTGAGGAACAGCTTATGAGACAGAAGTCAAAAAGCAGGTGTGCTGAGCCTTTTGCGCAGCGAATGGGACATGGGAGAACTGGCTTTGGCTTCCTTCCCTGATACAGATTCAATGGCTGCTGCCTGTCATGTCAGAGTAGCCTAGAGGAGTAAACTTAGGCGCACTTTGGAGATGGGCAAGCCGTAAGGGCCTGCTGAGTGTTGCTTGGCGAGTCTCTAGGAGAAACCTTCTCTGCCTCAGCTTTTGGTGAAGTTGAACATAACTTCATCAAAAGAAATCAGGAGCGCTTTTGTGTAACTGTTTTCCTATTTCTCATTTCAGGCAAGAAAGTTTTGGTATTAAATGGTGGTTACAGAGGAAATGAAGGCATCTTGGAATCTATTAATGAGAAGAGCTTTTCAGCAACTATAACTATTGACTCCGTAAGTATCAAATACTGCAAGATCTAGTTTGCAGAGAGCACTTTTCCTGCGTATGTTGGAGAGCTTTCACAATGAAAGATGACGCCATTAACCTTATCTTACAGGGAGGATCTGTGGTGTACAAAACATTGTGGTCACCCTGCCATTCCCAACCAGTAGGAGAACAACTGCATGTTTCTCTATTGCAGTAATGCTCTGCTTTTTGCCTTTAAAAAGATGCCAACATACTGAATTTGGCAAGTTTTTAACCTAAAAGAGACTTGCAGAATATTTTGTATGTTTATTTTAAATGTGGCTGTTGCACTATTTTGTGGGAAGGAAGCAAATGTGAAATAGGCAGGGAGATGAAATTTATCCTTCTTTTTCCAGACTGAACGTGTAGCTTTATGTGTTAACAATTGGATTTGCATGTTTGTTACACCCCACGTTTCTCTGAGCTAAAATGAGGCCATATGGTCACGTCTCTATGTGTGGCTATTTCTCTGCTTTCCATTGCAAAACCAATTTTTGAATTCATTGATGTGGCAGGAAGGATACTGGGCTCAAAGACAAAGTTTACAGCCGAAAGACCCTGTTAGAATCAAAGAACAGTTGCAGAAACTCAGCTTGTATTAGATGCTAGAGGATTTACGTGGGGAGAGACCTTGCAGATCTCCTAACCACAAGAGAAGCTTTGGAGCAGATATGTTAGTCTTGTGAAGTGAGGGTAGTCTTCTGCTAGTTCTGGTGCTTGAAGCTGTTAAGATTTTCCCTTTTACATGAACTTTGAGTCTAAAGATGAAGAATAGGTGAAACTACTCCTGGCAACCAGTGAAGACTGTGGGAATTTTCTTATTGATTTAAGGTGACCAGAATTTTTATGTATAAGAAGTTTGTATTCAAAAGCAAATCTTTTACTCCTTGTAATAAGTTCACAGTGAAACGATTTGAAAGAGCTGCTTATGTTTGCCCCCAAATTGCAAGGACTTTAAATAACCCAAGAAGTGTCCCAAAAGTAAAAAGATTGCCAGGGCAGTGGTGAGGCTCTGTCACATTCTCCAGTCAGGTTGCAAATAATGAAATAGAAATCAGTGTTGTGAACAAATGCTACACTTGCAATATTTTGAATACGTTTTACTATGCATCCCCTGTACAGGAGCCAGGGTGTGGCTGTGTGTGGCTTTTGGACAGATCTCTTAAGCAGAAAAGCAGTCATTGTGTTTTTACCGTGCACAGTACTGGGTCAAAATGCCAGGGCTTTTGATACATAGGCTCTTCACTTCTGCTACTGTTCACTTTAGTTGCACACCCTGAAAAAAGTCTAAATGCAGAGAGATTTGATATGGCCCATTTAGCTGTGTTATTTTAAGCTGTGTATTGGGAAGTTCCACAAACAAGGTTTTGTATTTTGAACTTATTTCTTGCACTACATTCTTCTCCAGGGACCTTTAAAAGGACGCCGAGTTGAAGGTATCCAGTACGAAGACATTTCCAAACTTGCCTGAGGTGCTAATTGTGGATCAGAGATGATTTTGGTTCCTCCAAACAACTTTCTGGCATCTTGCAGGCAGACACAAGACTCTACCATGTCAGGGTTTTAACTGTGTGTGTATATGTATTTATAATGTACATAGAAATGAACCACAAACAAACTGGATTTATTTAAAGATCACTATAAATTTGCTACATAAAATATTTGTGGAAATCTTATCAGTGGAAATATTTCATCTGGTTCTGTATCAAAGTTATGTTATAATATTTGATTCGATTTCCTTCTGTAAAATGTAGCAGATAGCTGCAAGCTGTAGTATTTTATTTAGTAAACTATTTTAGGAGTTCTGTAAAATAGAGAATTACCTACAAACAGCTGCTGGAGGCAGGCAGTGTATGTTGGAGCCGGTGGAGTTCAAACAACACATTTTTCAGTCTGCAGCCAAAATTGAGTCTTGGCTGTAGGAACAAGGGAAGGGATTAAGAGAATAGCAGGAAGGTAAGAGCGCTGCAGGGGATTTTTTCTTGGGTTTCGTAAGAATGGTCTAGGTTATTAAATGCTGTCACCAACTTATTTTTAGTTAGCACGTCAGCTGTAATAGAATCTATTTAATCAGTCCTCTCCATCAGCCTCTGATCTTGTTGTCAGGTTTTCTACTAATACCAATATGCAGCTTGCCTGCATATGGACTCCAAGTTGGATGTTACTTTTGGGACTGCAAAGTCGCCAACCTAACTGTGTGCAGATATGAAATCAGTGATTGCTGTTTTGGCTTTCTAGAGCCTTTTCCTTTGGTCATATTTCCGTTGTTTCCTTGCTTTGCTACAGATGCTAAATGAGTAACGTTACTTTTTTACTTATTGAAAAATGTGACATTTTGTACAATATTTTATTTTTAAGGCAATTCGGGAATAAACCTGAACCTCTCTCAGATCAATGTATTCTTTATCAGCCTCTGAAAATGTTGGCCAGAGCTCTGTTTGTTTATATCTGCCAAAGAGCACAGTAAATAGGTGCCCAGCTGGTGCTCTGCATTATTCACCTAAGAGAAAGATGTTAAGTCATCCCAGACAAAATACAAACCAATATCTTACGGTCCAGTCTTTCTCTGATTGATCTAAACCCTGATGGAAAGAAAACCACTAATCTGGAGCAGATCTCAGCTGTGTGGAGAGCTGTGGTGTCTGCTGCTCCAGGGCTTCTGCCATCAGCACTTTTTGGGGAGGCTGAGCCTTAGGAATATGGGGAAGGTGAGAAGGGATAACCTTTGCCTGGGAAGTAATGCTTGGATTTCCCTGCTAGCACAGCAGTTGTCTGTAGCTGAGCAAAATCCTTCCAAAAGGCTTGGTTTGTTCTCAGGAGATGGGCTCATCCCCTTCCTTCGTGGCTGAGGGTTGGATAGGACAAGATGCCGTCGCGAGGTGCACATCAGTTATGTTGCAGCCTAAAAGTTCAGGGCAGCTAGAGGCAAAGTCACTGTTCCCTGTCCCTTCTCCTGCCTCAAAGCATCACTTTCTTGCTGATTTGTGGTTTCCAGGGGACCCCTGGAGGAAAATTCAAAGACTGCAAAGGTGTAATCCAACAGCTGCTTCCTGGAATAGCCTGAAATAATCTTATGCAGCGTATCACATGGCTTTCCACGGACCCAGGACATAAACGCAAGGCAGAGTCGAGCAGTAAAGCAGTATCTAGAAATGGAGAATTATGAGGAAAGGAACTGAGGACAGAAGAGAGGACACACTTATCTATAAATTCAGGTTGTGCCTGCAGCTTGAATTGCGTAAGCAGCTGTCTGCCTCTTCTCAAAGAACAAGTACAGAACGAGAAGAGCTTCTAGGGGAGAAGTAAGGCTAAGTGAAAGTACGGAACAGCTCCTGTATCAAGTGAAAATAATTAGACTTAAAATTCTGCAGCCTGAAAAAGTGAGGAGGAATACACTAGAGATGTGCAGTTATGAACTGTGTGGAGATGAACAGAGCGTGATTCTTCACTGCTTGCTTTTGCATACGAATGGGGAAGCAGACAGTGACATTACTGAGAAGGGGATTAAAAAACAAAACTGGCAAGCTGTTCTTTCCCTCCTGCCATGCAGAGAGGACCTTGTTAAATTTTGGAACTCATTGCTGCAGGATATTGTGGAGGCCAAAGATGTAAAAGAGTTCAAAGAAACAACGAATAGTTGGTAGGGAAATTGTGAACGCTTCTGAGAATTACTTTGGCAAGATACTTAATACACGTTAATCCTCTCACGCCTGACACCATGTCTGCAGGAAAGATCATGGAGCAGTCTCCAGTTCATAAGCGAGGGAAACTAAAGTTCAGAATTGCAAGTAGATTACTTGAATTCCCCCTCTTATATTAGGGCTGCCGAGAAGAACCTGGCCAACGTTGTTTTCTAAGGCTGCCTGAAAGCAGCCCTTTAAATCTGGATCTAGGTACATACATGTACATGTTTATTTCAATACTGATTGCATTCATTGCTGGATACTCCTCAAGACAACTGTTGGGAGCTAATCCCACTGGAAGGGAAGCTTTTAGTGCTGCTGCTGATTTCTATATAGCCTGAATTTGAGGCTCTTCCTCCTACTTTCCCAGATTGGTATCTGGATGTAAACTGCAGGAAAATAGCACCGTTGACATTTTCTCAGGAAAACAGGCTGGAGGAACTCTCAGGCTCACCTAATTCATCTTCCTGCGATATGGCAGCATCAGCTATTTCAAGGTCATTTCGGGCAGCTGTTTAACCCATCCTTAAAGACCTCCATTTCTGGAGAACTGCATGCCTTTTTGATGACACCTGTACCAGAGCCGCCCATGTTCCTCGTTTGTTAGATTTCCCTTATATCTAATGCACATCCTCCTGGCTGTGGTTTTAGACGCATTGCTTTTTGCCCAGTGTAACAGTGCATTAACTCACGTTTTCCCAGCACGCTGAAGAGGCAAAGTGTAACTATTAAATCTGGTCATGTATGTTACTCACAGTACAGGAGCTACAACACATTTACAAGTCTACTAAGAAATGTATATTATAAAATAGCTGAAATTTTTACTGGAGTATTAATATCCACTAAATCAGACATGGCAAGTACAAGATATCTACTGCAATCCAGCATGACTCTTTATTACAGAATTATTATTATTTTTTTTAAACAGAAAGGGGAGTTAAATTGCTTTGAAACACTGATCACTCATAAAGCAGATGGTTGCGAAGTCACCTTTGGTTGATCTGGCTTGTCAGGCTGAAGATAGTGTTCAGAATAGTTGTTTGGGGCATGAAGGACCAAAAAGGGATTTTTTTTTTTTTTTTTTTGGTAATAAACTGGTTTAGTGTTCGAGCCTTCAGGGTTTTTTCAGAAAGCTGTACAGGTGGGGCACAAGGTAATCTTTGTAATGGCCGTCTATGAAACCTTTCCCGCTGTTGTGCACAAACCAGCACTGCACGTCTGTCCCAAACACGCGGTCTGTCCTGTAGTCCTTCTGCAGTCCCCTGTGAGGGAGAGACCACCCAAAAGGAGGGTTGTGGCATGACCAATAGACAAAGAGGCATCAATAATCCTACTGATTCATAGCACTGCTCTGCTAACATGGTGAGATGTGTGTCGTCACCAGCACACAGTGGAAACAACCACAAAATGCAGTGAATTTTACGGTTCTGTGACGCATGTGCCTTTTTGTTGGGGGGGGGGGTCCGAGGCACTCCCGGGACACACGATATTGAGTGGGGCTAACACAGCCTATCTAAGGTTAGATTCTGGAAAACTACAAGGCAGAACTGGTCATGCCCTTCTGAGCAGGGGTGAGTCACAAATATGAAAGAACTCAGCTTGCCTTAGTCCCGTGTGGTGTTCGCTTTGCCAACAGCTAAAACCAGATTATTTGTTAAGAGAGGGAATATTTCCCTGAGATCCTTGAGAGTTACTAAGCCTAGAGTCATTGAAGTCATTAAAAATCAGTCACATTCAGAAAGGGAGCAATAAAGCAGATTATTCTTGGCTGTGTTGTCCTCTGTTTGATCATGAATCCTACCTGGTAACAGTGAGCTTGTTTCCTTTCACTTCCATGGTGGCTTGTGGTTTCTCTGGAGCTTGCCCAGGTCTTTGGTTGTGGATATACACGTCTGGTTCAGACACAAACTGACCTGAACAAAGAGAGGTTTAAAGCTCTTCATACCCTTTGTGCCGGTAATGCAAGCTGCTGCCTGGCACATTTGCAAAATCAAGCTAGCTGCTGCAGCCAAACCACTCCTGCCCGGATCACAGGGCACCACGTCTCCAACGCCGTAGGATTGCCCACACGGGGAGGGTTAAAGGCTCTACTTTTGAGTCAGCTACTTAAGCGGACTGGAGCAGCAAAGAATGTTTGGGAAAACAACCTCCCTGTAGGCTGCAGGATTCACACATCGTAGGAGAGCTGTGTGGGTCAGGGTGTTGTCAAGGCTAGTCAGGCCTCTTCTGAAAGCACCTTCTCAAGCTGGGACTAGGAATGACCTCTTAGTTTATGCATCTTTTCTCTCGGAGGTCAGAAGTTTGGAGAACTAGGGCTGTTACCTTTTCTTGAGGTATCAACCTTGCCAGTGCGGCTTAGTTAGTCGTGGTCCCTCCATCTCATGTAAGCAGAGGGAAGCAAATAAGCTTCAAGCCACGCTGGGGCAAATGTTTCCAAAGGCAGACTGGGGCAAGGGCTGAAGACAGAGCTGATCAGCTTGGGCGCAGCCATGTTCTACAATGTCCATGCAGCTTCCAGGACATTTTCCCCCTCAGGACATAGAGATCAGCTAATTCACTCAAAGATTTGGCAAAACCCTTTCTAGTGTCTCTCTCTACCCATCACCCCATGCCCAGCCCTTACCTATCAGCCCATGTGCTGCCGCAGAGAGCTGGTTTTCAGGGGGAATGTAAATTCCCAGGAAGTCAACATTAACAGGATGATTCTTCCACACACGGTGCAACAAAACCATGAAGGACATTTCCTCTCCCACAGTGATAGTAACATTGCTTTCTTTCTTCACAGATATGAGAAGCCTAGCAGACACACAGAACAAAAGCAAGGACTCAGTTCAGCTGCCCACATGTGAGCATCTCATGCCCCTTGAGATGCTCTGGGACACTCAGAACATGCACACAGGGCTGGCAGATATGACAGAAGACCCATCAGAAACTCGTGGCCTTGGGAGCAATACCTAGTGGCCTGGCAGGACAGTGTTAATACAACATGGCCTGCCCGTGTTCAGGCAAACAAAGCCTGCCCTGCAGGTCTAAGATCCTCTTACAGCTAATGGAGATTTTGAAAGTGATTTCTTTGCGTAAACAGGTGTCTAGTGCTGCAGGGTATCCAGCCTGGCTGCTAGCTGTTAATCTGCAGGTGAAGGTCTCCTGGACATTGTGAGTCACATCTCCTAGCTGCTTGTAGACATCAGGAACCCTCTGAGTATCGCAAATAGCATTAAGTGCTTGTGTTCAGACAACTGATTCTGGCCTTAGTTAATACAATCAACAGCAGGGAGAGGAATTCAGCTCTTCTTACGTATGTTTGATCAGCTGAATCCCTCTCTTGGCTCTATCGCCTAAGCCCCATTAACTGTAACGAAAGCTCAGATATCTAGCTGAGATGCACATGTCCGCATGTAGGCGTGCTACGACCTGGATCCCACCCATGGCTGGACAAGCCCAGTGCTTTGTTCCAAGCATTTTCCATATGGCGGACAACAAATGCTCCTCAACTTACTGTTTCCGAATGATGTGTCCTGTGTCAGACCAGGTCAGTGTGATGCTGTAAGATCCATCTTTCAGCGTTATCGTTTCCGTGCTGATCTCCACTTTCAAGCCTTTGTTTTCGAAATAAAACCCAATTTTGCCAAAGTAGGTATTAAGTTTCTTATTCTCGATCTTCTTGGCTCCAATGAGCTGCCCATTGACCACGACTCCTGTGAAGAGCAGAGAAGCAGATGTGGGCTAAATCATGCTGCCTGGCAGTATGCTTCTGATCCATTTCAATGCACAATAGAAACAGTTATATTCCAGCACCATCAGCGGGGGTTTAATGTTCAGCACGCTCTTGCAGATCTGTTGCAGATCTGTTGCGTTCTTTCAAATTTCTTAAGAAGGTAGCTGCTAGGGTTGGAAGACAGTATGAGCTCTTTTGGCGTCATATCCAAAATATCTCTTCTAAATGCCCCATTGTAACACTGCCTGCACCAGTGCCAGAGAGGAGTCTGAGGACCTGACAGAAATCGCTTGATTCTCAGCCATTTCTGCCTTTATGAAGAAAAGCAGCCCCTGCCATGTTTTAACAGGCAGACTTCAATGACTGGAAAGGCAAGCACAGGAAAACAAACAAGATTCACCCTGAACTCTTTTAAGTCTTAGCTGCTTGAATGCAAGCTGCAAATTGGATCCCAGGAACGAGGTTCTGCCCTCTGATCACTGAGTTGGATTTACCCCCGGAAACTTGATGCTTCCGATTTAATGTGGACCAGGAGTGACCTTAATAGCACGCGAGTATTTGTTTTTAATAAAATTTATTTAATGAGAGCAAGCAACAGGCAGAAATCATAGAATAATTTAGGTTGGATCTCTGAAGGTCCCTGGTCCAAACCCCTGCTCAGAGCAGGTCCAGTTAGACCAGGTTGCTCAGGGCCTTGTTTAGTTTAGTGTTGAGTATCTCCAAGACTGGAGATTTCCTCACCTATTTCAGCCGGTTTCCCAGTGTTTGGCCATCCTCACGGTGAAAAAGTTTTTCCTAGTATCTAACCTCTAACCAGAATTCTACCTGTCGCAATGTGTGTGCGGTGCCTTTTTTCTTTCTGCTGTGCATCTCCTAGAAGAGTCTGGCTTCACCTTCTCCTTACCTTCCGATTATGTACTTGTAGATAGCAACAAGACCTACCCTGAGTCTTCTTAACACCAAACAAACCGAGCTCTCTGAGCCTCTCTCTGTCCTGTGCTCCAGCCCCATAATCATCTTGGTGGCCACCACTGGAAGAGTTTGCCAACTCTTTCTTTTACTGGCAAATCCCAAATGAACACAGTACTCCAGATGCGAAAGGAAATAATCACTTCCTTTAGCCTGTTGGCCAAACTCTTGTTAGCGTGTAGTACTCCTTATAGGCATTTCCTCTGCTCTCAACACCTTTCAGACCCTGGAGGAAGAAAAGTGCTACAATATAAACCATTCTTTTTATTCCCTTACCAGTACCAGGATCAGAAACCAAGTTTAGGATCTTTCCAGGCTCTGAGTTGATATTAAAGCAGATGTTCCTCTGGCTCTTGGGCAGATGTATGATGAAATGTGGGTCATTGTCGACTGAAACATAAAAGTAAAGAAACAGACATGAGAAATAGGCCAATACCTGTGCAAGATGTACAGGATAAAAAGACTGAGACACTTTCCTCAGAGTCAATTTTGAGGCATGTTTCCACACTCCTCAGAAGGGGCCCATGCAAGAGCTAAGGAAGTTCTCAGATGCCCCTCACAAAAGCCCCTCAGACACTTTCTCCGCTGTTTAAGAAAAAGACATGACATTCTTGGCTAGAGGCACATTGCTGAGTGCACTGAGCCACTGGTTTAACTGGTTGACTGAACACTAAGAGGATGCCACAGGCTCATTCAGGAGTGCCAGAGGTTTTGCTTTATTTACTCAAGATGGAAGCCAGTCTCCGGGTAAGGCCAAGGACCCGTCTGGATACCAGCCAGCCAGGGACCATCTCTGAGGCCTAGACCTAGGAAAGGACCTAAAGGAACTGAAAGCAGGACTTGGGTGACACCGAAGAACCTCTGATCAAAACCAAGACCCAAACATTCTGGGCCAAGCCGTTGCCCATTTCTGGACATATTACACTCCCAGGACATCAGTCTGTTGAACTAGAAAGTTCTCAAACACCTTAGAAGACCCGTGTGCCTACCATACTGACTTCAGGTCAGCATACATCCCTTCTACCCATTCCCCTCAGGACCCCACGCAGGACTTGTTCTCACAGCACATTCAACACCTTGGTGGGATAGGGCCCCTCTGAAAGTTGTGCCTCCTTTAAAATATCCCTCAACTGAGACAACTACCTGCCCCAGTCACTGCAGGTGGCTGCCTCCAGTCTTGTTTCGGAGTATAAAGCGCTGCTCAGTTCTTGGAAGGGAAAGTTGCAGGCAGAAGCCAGCTCTGGGGACTGGGTAGAGGTTGCCAGCTGGCCCTACCAACATTCAGATACATCCCTCTTCTCAGCGTTGCCTACTGGCTTACCCTGGCTAGCTTCCATTCATTTGCCTGTCTCCCTCATGTTTGGGAAGGATTTTCCTCTTCCTATGCACTAGACAAAAGCC